TTTCTGCTTTTCTTGAGGATTCTTTTACATCCATGCATAAAACTGTTCATGAAAGTTTTTTCGTTTACCTCAAGTTATTTTAAAAAAGTTTCAACTATGTCAAAATAAATTATTCTCAGCAATTTGCCATACACTGTTTTTTAAACCTGACTAAGAAGGAAAATTCGAGGCAACACAATCTCGCAGAGAGATTTTTTCAGCTTTTTCGCCATCTGTGAGTAGAAGTCAATGTTTTTTTTCAATTTCGCATCTTAATTGAGTTTTAAAATTATACCTCCCGTGATTCTCTGTAAATCATTGTAAGCGCTTGTAGTTAAGTAGTGAAAGAGATTTTATCTAGAAAAAGACCCGCACTTTCTGAATATTATTCCTTCAGGCGAGCTGTTATGGAAAGCTAATGATTTAACTATATTGAATGACTATATGTACAATTTTTGTGATTTTTGTTATTCTTTTGGTTGCTTTTTGAAAAACAAATTTCCGAAAGATTTTTAGAGTAAACTTTTTATTCCTAATTACAAATCTCTTTATTGGTTAAGGCCAGGATACTTTTTTGCTTTAAGGGGGCGCGAAAACCTTATTAAATACAAATTTAGAAAGTAAGGTCGAGGGTACATTTTCTAGACAGCAAGATGTCTGACCATTCGTTGTTCAAAACAGTGATAAGATCGTACGAAATTGTCATCAAGAAGATTTGGAGAATGAGCATGTTATGTTAGACTTGGCTCCATCCAGGTTAAAACCTGCTTCCGAAAGTTATCGAAATTTTCCGAACAGGGCGAATAAAAGTGAGAATGCATTAGTGATTAAAGCGTGCGTTGAAACCATGGTGTGTGATCCTACATTTTCACGCGTGATACCGCGTGAGGATTATGCAATTCGATCAAGAGAGAATCACCTTTTGAAAATAACTCTAGAAGGTCAGTTTTCACTTGAAACTTTGGGCACAAGATTTGTTGACATCTTTTAAAAGTCAGATATTTCACGACATTGATGAACGTTTTACAAGAGCCACTTAAAGTGAGCGATACGTGTCTTTGATTAGACTATTGAGCAAGATCAGTGAATAACGACAGTTTCTGAGAGAAAAACATTGTGTGAATGCTGTACACTGTGGCGAGGTAAATTCATTCAGGTTTTGCAAAGCTTAGACTTTTATCGAAAAAATAACAAAATTCAATTTATAAAGATGAATTTTTGTTAAATTATGTTGAAGGACTCCTGATTCCCTCTGAGTTTTCTTTCAGTGTTTTAATGTCGAATGTCAGGTTTAGTCCGATAAGATTTTTGTCGCTGATGACAGAAAAAGCAAGTTTTTATTCTTAGAAAAATGGTTAAAGAAGTAATTAATGTTTGTACTAATGGGACATTTTGCATTGATAGAATTATTTTCTACTGAAGCAGCCACAAAGTTTATTCCTTGCATTCAAAAGTTTTTTTTTTTCTTTCTTTTCGGTTAACTTGAAGGAAATAAGATATAGAGAGCCATTCTTACTTAAGTTTTCGGCATCAGATTAAAAGGAAAAGTTTCAAAAAGAAAACAGGAAACAAACGTGATATTAGATTTCTCAATTCTCATCTCCCCTCGAGATGAAAACTTTAAAGAAGGGAGATAAAAGATCGATTGATAGCGATCGCTTTTACGCCGGGGCGATTGAAGATCTCCTAAAATGCTTGTCAACGGAAGTTGGAATTCGGCAACCAAACTGTTTATGCAAAGTGCGCCCAACAAGCCAAAACACGACGTATCAGAGTGAAAAATCTAAGCTTGGCAGGGTTTTTGAAAATATGTTTCCTACATGAAATATGTATGATACGATCGTTATCAAGACACAATGGGATTGCCTCCGTGTTGACAGTGGCGAACGTTTCTCATTGATTAATGAAAATCTCGTATGCTTCAAATCACCGATTTTTGTCTAGTTATTCTTTGCACTAATGTTTATGTATTCAACTGATTCTTTCCTATTAGAAACTAATGCGACAATGAAAACGGGGAAAAATGAAATAAATAAATTGGGCCATGCCTGTGTTTTCATAGTTCAAATTCAAATCCCTGTACTTTACTGGCGCACCCCACTCTCCGATATAAACAAATTAAAGATCATGCAAAAAGCTCTGATACCGTCTTGATTACTGAAATGGCTCAAGAGTGGTCGGTTATTAAAAAGAAGGAAAACTTCCTTAAATAGAGTTTTTCAATCACTTTGCCAATTCAATACAGTCGATCTTAGGAGACCTGCTGCACATTTAAAAATTTTCAAATCCGTGATTCCTGAGGATTGTTCAAGATAGAGAAGGTGGGGATTTGTTTTTCAAGTATTTTTTTCTCTTTTTCATTATCCTCGTCGAGTTTTCCTGATAAAATAAATATCTGTCACTACAGCTGTCCCTTTAAAGATTTTGGACGATATAGACAGATCTTTCGTTTCCCTATGTCACTGCACTATGATTTTAGGAATATCTCTTAAATATATCACAAGTTTTCTCCACAAAACTTAAACTTAAGTTCCATAATAGGCATCTTATCGATAAAGAAGACATGAATTTAGTGAAAAAATATTACCTCAATATACGACTTTAAAATTGAAATATCTACGTGACTGATTACACATTTTGCGAAGACATTTCGCAATATTTTTTTCCGAGATAGGTTTTTCAAAGCGCGATCGCGATAAATTATTGAAAAATTTATAGTTAGTTCGCACCTCTGTTGTTTTATATAAACATCTCTCCAGAGCTTAAGTCCTTCCATCGTCATATCGAACTTAGAACATTGGTGGGGGGGAAGAAACCTCATTTTAAAACCCAAACATGTTTTACAGGGAAAGTTTCATATCTTTTTCCATCATGACTGCTTTATCTCATGTTGGCTTTTTTGATTCTCTTACAAAAATCCCAAACATATCGTGATATTATGGTGAAGACCCTTGAAAAAGCAGCATGTAAAAGCCCAAGAGTTTTTATCTCGTAATTAAACCTCACTTGTTAACTTTATTCGTGTTTTATATGCATTGATCTGATTGCCAGAGAAACCCAAAGGATTATATTTTGGGTTTTACGTATCTGATCCTCTTAAAGTCTCTTACAGGAAAGCTTAGGATCTCTTTGGCTTCCTGAGCGAGAATTTTCGTCACCTTTATATACTTATTTTCTCGGGTTGTTATTATCATTTTCAAACAACTGTATATCTCGATACTGCTTTCCTTCCTAACCATAAGTCCTCTTTCCAAAACCAGAGACAGGTATTGATTCACGAGACCCAGAGGAAAGGCATTTTATCGTTTATTTCGTGAAACTCTAAAAAACTCACCCATCCGATTTTGTCGGAATTTGCCTTACACTTAAAGATCTCTCGCACTAGACACGGTGTCGATCTTAAAGTACTCAAGCAGGTTATCCATAAAGATTTTAATCCACATTTTGAATAGAAAACCCTGTTTAAATTTTGAAGTAATTTTTCAACACTATTAATGTCTCTTAAATGAGTTCGACGAAACGTTTTTCTCGCTCTTTATTCATAGATACATGATTTAGCAAACGACGAAATCTAGGTAGATATGGGCCGCCTTGTTTTCTTCGGTATTCAAGATATGTATTTTCTTAAGTAAGAAACAGTTATCCCAGAAGTGTTACAACGAAATATAAAGCATTAACACAGTTATTACGTTTCAGGCGACAAAATAGCAGATTTGTGTTTTTTGAAGAGGAGTAATTCTTCAGTCTAACACTATTATAGATTCTTTGAGTGACTGCAAAACAAGATTCAAATGTGATTCACATACCATTCGGTGAATTAATGAAAATATCTTTATATCTCCATTAGTTGACACTATTTCATAAAGGTAAATCGTTTCGAAAATGCCTTCGTGAGAACGTAGATTGATAGTGGAAAGACTTCTATAAACGGGACTCTGTCGGAGGAGATCACCCTTAGTTTTCCCGTCATGTTTTGCTGGTATAATCATTTACCCTTTATGATATTTTCAATACAGCCAGCATGCGTAATATTCTTACTGAACAAAGGTCGTGCACAGGTTAAATTTTAATGCGTAATCCTATGAAATCTGACACTAAATGCAGTTAACGTGTAAGTCCAGTAAAAGCCACTGTCATTCTGAGCACGCAAGTTTATTTCTGACACGCAAACGGGTCGGTGCTGCCAACGAACCCATGCGGCGAGGAATCTTTTTAATCAATTACGAAAAGCCATTTACGACCTAAACTGTGTTCCTTAACGTCTTAAAAGATTTTTTAATTCTCCATTTCCTCAGAGTGAATTCTTCGTTTTATTTTTATCACAAAGAAAACAGAGCCACTTTTGATCTTTTCAATTCGAACGCAACTGACCGATGTGGTACATCTGCTCCCACGAAGTTTGTCACGTGGGCGGACCGCTCGCGCAGCTCTACAACGCGCGCGCGAGATTGGTCGTGCAGCCATGCATATAAAACCAGTCCCATTATGTTATGTGGTTAATATGTTTTATAAATATAGGCAGAATATTTCAATTCTCCTCAGTTAATCGAATCTCGCCATATTTTAGACTGAACCAGTCTGAACGCCAATATCACAAGGACAAAACAAGAAGTTCAACTGTCTCTCCCATTATCCACAACACGGTAAGCCTTTGGATACGCTTTTTGCTGTTTTTCAATATTTTTCTGACTCAAGATCGTCCAGTTTATTTCCATTTGCTTACGCAAGTTTTGAATGCGTTTCTTGTTTACAAGATTCCTTTTTCGTTTGGGTGACCTTTCGGGTCTTTTTCCGCAAATCAAAATTATTCTCTGACACCTATCACCTTATTAAACTCAGTAAGCGCAAACACTTGAATTTTGTATATCCAGTAGTGGAGACATCAGCTTCAAAGATAAACCAAATCATTCACGAAACCTTCTAATCTTTCCTGAGGTGAGATTCTAGATTTCTGTTATGAAACTTAAGCTTAAATATCTACCTTCCAAATCTTAGATAAACCCAAAGGCGCTCTTTAAGATGTAGTTTGTTGTTTTAGTGTAATGACACCAAATTGCGAGGAATTTTTGCCGACTGTCCTAATGAATCGCATGGGGAAGGAAAGCAGGATATGTTTACGATTTGAAAGGACTTGCGTTGTGGGCAGAACTAAGGAAATACGTATTTAACAGGCCTCTTCCTCTAAACGGCTAGGCGATGTTGCAGTTTAAAAGCTGATACGAAATACGAAACATTCAACTTCGACAACAAATGAGTACGGTATACACTGTTGTTTAAAGGAGGAAGGAGTAACTCTAATGAGGTGGATTATTTCCATCCTACAAACAGAGATAACCTTAACACATTTTAAATTCAGTAATTTATGAAAGCTAAGAGTTATTGTAAGTAGATGATCACATCTTCTCAGTTGAATTCTAGATTTCGATGTTCATCTCGTCGAACGCTAGCTAGATTCTTGATGAAGACGTGAAGATATTGCGATGGTACAAGCTTACTCGCTTCTCTCTAGCTTTCAACTATGATCCCAGGTTATGCAGAAAAAAAGGCTGAAATCTGCCCTGCGTGCGGTTTCTCAATTCATCATCTGCGTAATCTTTCAAGGCCTGAAATCATTGTAAACGAACTAAAGGAAACTTTGTGTGGTGGAAAAAGACACATCAGTTAGGCATACGCGAAGCAAAAGGTTTAACTGTCGCGCGTAAAGTTCCCATTTACACAATTTTTTGCAACTTAAGAAAACCAGAGCAACATATCCCGTTTTAGGTTTTTCGTGTTGGACATTTAGAACTTTCTAGAAAACAATAAACCCCGCCTTCTGCGGGATGTGTAGCAACCGATTCACAAAATAATCTAATGGCGTCAAAAGTCTTGGTAGACGAGGCAGAAATTCAAACAATTTCTAATATACAACATATCAATGTCAAAACCAAGGGATCCCGTTACAAGCGCAGCTTTTGTTGAAAACGAAGTAAGCCGGCAGCGAAATTGTAGCGCAGATCAGTCTTTTAATACGTTCAGTTTTGGTAGTGCGGTACTGCAGATGTTCCAAGTATGGCCGCCTTGGTTTTTTGCTCAGTCAAAATACGGTGTTTACAAATTCCGCACACGCTCATTAATTTGTTATTATTCAGTCTTTTATTGAGGGATTTTTTTCTCGCTTTAAGCCACCATAGGTGGGCGAATTTGTATACGGAAACAAGATTTGTGGCTCCGAACAAGCCAGATGGGTTCAAAGAATTTGGCCAAAAAGTGACAATGTATTTCTAATTAGTTATAGCATCAGTTACTCTCAACAGAAATGAATGAAGGCGGCCTTTTCTGTTGTCATACTTTAGTTTCCTAGCTGTCTCGTAAGAGATAAATCACTACATGTCTCAAGAAATTATTGAAGTGACAACCTTCTATGTCTTTCAATCTATCCCCGTGTTAAAAATGTCTTGTTTGCGGCTTTGTATCTCGATTATTACAGAAAACACTGTTCTTCTGTTTCGTAATTAAATTTCAACAGCGCTTTTCGATCAAAATTTTTACCACGGTTAAAATATTTCGGTTTCATAGAGGTGATCCCATTGATGGGAATTTTACTCTTCTCGAGAGGGAAGCAGGAAGGATCGATTAAAAAAAAAAAGAAAATAACGAGATAAAACGTACGTCATTTCCCAGGGATCAATATCCAGAGAGAAACCGTCAGTCTGTCAACTCCTTCTAAACCAAAAATTAAGAGGCCTTCGTTTTTTTGTCATTTGACGTTAAATTTTGGGTTTCCTCTTCTTGCGTGTCTCACTTACCTACCCTCGAGTACTGTCAACGTCAACAATTTTCAATTTCCGTTCGTAATCGGGTCACACCTGAGCATGTAACGCTCCTTTTAAAATTTAAGTGTGAAATTTATCGCTTGTTTCACTGCGGCTATCAGGTCCCCCGCTCCAATGCACGGGCGGGTAAGGAGCTAGTAGACACTGGGTGTACAACGCTAGCTCATTGTTGCCCTGCTTAAAGAATGGATTCAATCAAAATAGCGTACCCAGCGCAATACACAATTTCGGCGCCAACACTTCGCGCGGATATGAACACCACAAATCCGTCACACTTGAGTAACCTCTGTCATCTTGTGAGGTATTCGTTCTAAATGCAGTGACTCGCTCGGACGAACTTAACACATTGCAGCTAAAAAGTAGTTGGATTTTGCACAAATCTCAGCTACATCTTGCGTGCTTAGAAGTCGGTAAAGCAAAGCATGTGTAAGTTAGACAAAGCAGTGAATTAGACCGGTTCGCTTGGCGCCCCATTGGCGCCGCAGCTCAGAAGTCATATAAATAGCATGTAACACTAGCTCGGTCTTTCAAAGTGTACTTTCTCTGGGAGAAAAAGTCATCGCTCGTAGGAGCTCGTTGAACAAATAAATCTCCGACGAGGTGAGTAGCTTTTGTTTTACTTGCAAAATCTAATCGGATTACCTTGCGCCTCGGTGGTTTGTGGTGAGGTTTTCTGCGTGTTCATCTCAGCAATTTCTTTGGTGCAAAGGCAGTAAAGGTCTCTGGCTATCCAACGAACCGCAGCATTGAGTAGTAACGAGTTCATGCCAGATTTCTGTATACACTAATTTGAACGAACAAGCTCCCTGTAGCGCTGAAAGATAGATTTTGACTTCGTTTAATCACGCTGATCAATGAAAATTGCTGTATCTGCGCTATCACACCAGGAGGTTGATCAGTTTATCTCGATAAGGCTGTAGCTTCGCTCAACGAAACAACAAACTGATTTCTGTAAATACCTACACATCACTCTCGGAGAATATTAATAAAACCCACCCGCCTTATCGTTAAGTGCTGTCGATAATCCAATATCTAAGTTCCGTTTCTTGAATTGATCGACTTTTCAAACTCAAATCGAAGTGAGAGTTTATGTAGTTTGTAAAAGACTGTGATTTTATTTCAAGCCTTGGTGATTACAGCTTTGAATCAAACTACGTTTGAATTCTATCCTTGGTAAATTGACGGTCTCTGAAAAAAACATTTCTCTAGAAACACCTTACATTTTGAGGTTGAAAAACAGATGTTTCAATACGAAATTTGCCAAAAGCCTATTATCAAACCATTAGAAATGTGTGAGACTTTGATGGCTTGCTTCATCACTTATGCATAGATTATTCACACACTGGACAAAAGGGTTGCCATTATAAAATTACGTTCATTTTTATTGAGACAGCTTTTTTACCTCACTTATTCAGGCAGATGCTTCACGCAAATATTGAGAAACCACGCTCTGTTAATTCGAGAGACGCTTTTGAGGTTTAGCTTGTGACAACTGACCAATTCGCGTTGACATTATATTGGCCCAGAGTTGCTAAACTTAGACGAGAAAATGTTTCGGTTTTCGATTGAGCAATTATCTGTTACCCCCGTTTGCTACAAGTTACTTAGGTCGTTATTATTAGCCGTATTATCTTTTGCCATTGATATGCGGATAACTTGTGTCGCGAAGCCATTATACAAGTACATTAGCAACACGGATTTGACCAAAACTAAGCGGGATTCTGACAGCAACTCATTCGTCTTCCTAAAATCTTTAAATGCGTTTGCGAAGATTCAATTAGGCGCGAAATGAGAGTGGATGGCCAAAGTTATCAAAAATTAATGGCTCGACAAAGCTCGTGAATGAGAGGCACAATAGCTCACAGCCTATCAAAACGGCTCCTAAAGAAGGTTTGCTTTCATAACTTTTGCCAATGAAGTGGGAGGGAAATGTTCTCACTTGTGACAATCATATCAGCACACGTTTGTGCAAATATCGAGAAATATTTATCCTTCTCTCCCTTTGAATAAACAATTATTACCATCAAATCACCGAGTTATTGAGTTTTAAGCTAAAAGGGTGGGAAATCAGAACAGACGAAAGGAGATGAATTATTTAGCGCGCTTATTTGGCAATAAATTTTAAGCTGCAAACCATTGCATTTTCCACCATGTGGTCAGGTTAAAGGTGCGATGCGATTCGCGAAAGCAGCAAACAGGAAAAAAATATTGTCAGCGAGAGTCGCATCGCTTGTTTCAAGCCCGTTTACATCAAACCGAGAGAAACATTACAATCTTGGTAGGTAAAAATTCATATCTTTCAGTATCAAGCGTAGATCCAAAAGCGTGATAATTATGCAATTATCGATTTTAGATAGAATGATTGATAAGTTGAGCAAGGCTTCAGTTCTCTGACGTGAGACGCATCAGCTGAGGCTAGTACTGTATTACCGAGGAACGTGGCTGGCTATATCAAGAGCCCGTTGGCATTTCCGGCACCAAACCACGATCACATCCCTTTATTCTAGTTTCGAGAAAATGAACTCTCTAGATCAGATCTGTGGTGAAGCTACAAGGAATTTGTTTTGGGTTGCGTTGCGCAGAATAAATAAACTTCTGGTACAGGAACTAAGATGCACTCTGCACAAACTGTAACTGTTGAGGAGGTTATCGTAGTGTTGAGAAATCAAAGACACCGACAACCGACTTCACGTCGCCACCCTGACCTCTGAAGAATTTTCCCATTAAGCCAAAAATGCTATTTTACACCGCTACTTTAGCTAGTTCTAGAGGAGTTGACGGCCAGCTTTCAGAGGTAGCCTAACGGACTCGTGGGCATTAGATATCTTGCCAAAAAAGCTTCTTAACTCTCGGCCAGACTGCCATCCTACGCCCTTGCTATGCCTTCGTGAGCACGTTTATCAAATAAAAACTGTTGTAGTCGAAGAACAATAGAGCAGAGTGTTCCAGGTCATTCGGCCCTAAAATTTAACCAAATTGAAGAGATAAAAGATTCACTGGTTTTAGAAACATCTATTATTCTAGAGCGGCTCTAGCACGCGTCAATGTCCCTGTTTCTAGTGGGATTGTCTCGTCTTCAACGGTGTTGAACCGAAAACACCTCTTAATTAAAGTTCGTTTACTGTCTGTTCTTCGCTTTGCTTTCTTGGGCTCGCTTTAGGTATCCTGGCTTTGTCCTCAGTGCGGCGATAAGGAAACATGCAAACTTCTTGTAATTTTTATCGAATTATACGCAATAGTTTTTTTAAATTTCAACACCACTTGCAAACAAACAGATCACGCAATAGTGTGTATCGACTGGATGGCAACGAAACGGGTTTTCGACAGAACGACTTTGAAGAATCTAGCAACGTACATCGTATCTTGTAATTACTACTTCCTTCATTTGTAGTTAGGAATCTTAATTTAAGTGAATTTACCTACTTAGGAAACAAAGGATTATTTGCTCTCGCATTTTTTTTTCCGAATGACAAAGGAACATCCTGTAGAACAAACAACTTTGCTTTTCTCAACAAAAGTTCAAGAGTTTTTTCGAGTTCCTTTATGAGAGAAATGCATCTCGTCCGCTCATGACTGAGTGTCTCGCAGTTAAGGCATTTTGGACTAAATTGGCTTGCTTTACATGTCTTGTATAAAGTAATCCTTCTTCGAGAGCCGTTTAGAAACGCGGTGAAGTAGGTCTAATTCAAGTGTCTTGGAGACCGTTTGTCAATCACGAAATCTCTTAAAGAGAAATCCGGTTCTCATGTAGGCCATTAACCACCTTAAGTCGGTTCGCTTTGTAATTTTCAACCCCTCCGAGGCAAAATGATGAGTTTTAAGGACTAGTAAATTGGTTATTACTGATAAGGCATTTTACATGCCCACAACGAGATCACAAGAACTAAATTTGCATTTGGAAAATGATCGTAAAACAGGCGTTTACCGCCCGAACACACAATAAGGTGCTTATTTATGATAAAGCATCAGTTGCAGCATGAAATTTCTTTGCAAAATTTCCATTTTGAACGCTAAATTTTTAAGTTTCTCGGTTATTTTTGTTGTAAGATATATCCGGCCCAGTATTATCTTATTAAACGCCTTCTCCGTTTTACAAGTTGCTCTAGCTTCTCTCATTGTTATGGAAATTTTGCGTGTCAATAGAGCGCGCGACACAGATTTATTGCTCGGTTTTTTTATTTCTTTTAGTTTTTGTTGGGTTAACCTTTTGTTGGTTTATTCGTGCAGATAAGGGTTCTGTTTTGGTGTGTGAGATTTGTTAGTTGAGTTAAGAGTTTTGTCGACCAATATTAATATTGAGTAATGGGAGAAAAGATTAGTTTCTTTTTAAGCTAAAATCGAATTTCTGCACGCAGACATGGAAACCGAGATCTCGACATCGATCTATTTTTAATCGCAATATATGGTTTCGGACCGGCCCAATACCAGAGAAATGTATATTTGGTTTAGATTAACAACATAAAACATGTAGCTTAAAAAGTCATTGGAAATGATTGTTTCTTCGATACTGAACCAAGCTAAAGATAGAAACAGACGAAGATCAAATAGTATGGAAGAATTTCCTGTTTGGGTACTTCTGGTTCGCTAAGGCAATCCTATTTGAAGCATTGGAAATTCGCCTAACCAGATCAAACGCCTTTTAGGAAAACCCATGAAAATGCAAGCTGCTTAGGCAGGTTTTGCGGTGAACTGGATTTCAACAGTTTCACGTTGAAATAAACCATGCTTTACTGTTCACTTGTGTGGCATGAATGCTGTTTAGTGTCTGTTCTCGACTTCCATCGCAATTATCGACTTGTGAACACATTGATGAATCTTACCTTCACTTATTTTACCCCACTAACGGAAAAGGAAAACAGTAGCCAGAAATTTGTCTGAAATGTTTTAATCATCGGTCTAATTTTTCGCACTCATCTTGCTCAATGGTGTTATTTAATCGCAATAAGTCTCATGATAGTTTATGAATGTGTTTTGAAGCCGTTTCGCCGCAATTTTTTAGTGTACTTCTCGGTATGGATTCTTGTGGTCGTGCTTCACTGCAACGAGCTCTTTCATATTGTCAGCATATTTCTAATTTCCCTCAACATTATTTCTTGTATTTCATTATAAAGAACACCCTCCCTTTCCAATGGATTACAGCTAAGGCCCTCCAACGAAGCAACAAAAGAAAAATCAAAGCTACCTACCGCATTTAACTGATTTAGTCGCAGATGGTTTTTTTGCCACAAAAATTCCTACATGTACAACGTCTCCAGTTATCCTAAAGCATTCGATATTCATCTGTGTGGAACCGATATATGGCACAGGTATAAGTTGTCGTGGCGCTACAAAAATATATCACTTTACGACCTTTGTTTTGGCCTAGGAAAGGATCTGTTTTTCCGTGTTTTTATGCAACACCTTTGGTGTCAGTATGGACAAGTACGAATTAGCACGTAAGTACGAAAGCGCCGCGCTCTCTTTCTCGCTCGTAGACGGTCTGTTGGACCCGTAAACGTTTTGACGTTTTATGAATCTAATCCGAGTTTATCACGATTGAAGCTTTATCAGTTCGCCCTGTTGAGGGCGCTTTTAAAGCCCTTCTGTTCGGACTCCAGATATAAAATCGATCACGGACATTAAGACTTGTTTTAGCGATCAAATGATACTGTACAAGACCCTTGCACAGTATGTGAGCGAGATACGACAGCCCCCTTCATCTGATAAAACTAAACGCAGTTTCCTGTTTCGAAAACTTTTCAAATTATCACCCTGCTCTTATGGATTTTACACCCGCGAACCGTCGACGCCGAAATTGAGCCTTCTTTTGGTTTTCTTCTTTTTTATGGGCGGCGGCTTTGAGAGTTGAAGAATGTACCAAGACTAAATTTTCAAAACAAAAACGACAAAATACGTAATAAACAGTTGTGTGTTTTCAGAAATCAGAAATGCAATCAAGCCCGTTGGCGATTATTCAAAAGATTTCATCGCCAACTTGCACAAAGAAAAATAGGAAAATTACACTGATAACCCCCGTTATTCAGTAGACTTATCTTTACCATACAAAGCGATGCATGTGTGTTTTACGGATTTAGACGCGAGCAATGTGTAAGGATAGATATAACTACACCAGCTATCGTGACTGCATCACGATCTTGGAAAGGCGGCCGACCACTCATCTTGGTGTAGCTAAGTGCGTGTGCATTGCAAGTGATAAAACTAAACAAGAAACGCTTCACCATGTCTGCAGAGACTGTTAACCAAGGAACATGCTTCTTGGGGAGTCTGCGTGCGATGTTTTATGGTAAAACTCTGCCTGAGAGCCTTCAAACACCTTTTCCTGGTAAATGTTTTATGTCTTTAATTCTTACAAAGGGCGCAGGCAGTCTGCTTAAACAATCCAGTGCCTCGTGAGAAAGTCTTCAGAGGTGCATTCCAGAAAACGGCGAAAATTTTTATGGCTTCATTTCGGATATTTAGAGACCTCAAACAGGTTTAATCCTTTAAAATGAAGGAGTTGGAGATTTTTTGTCGGTCGGCGAAAGCTGTGTTTAATTGAGAAAACCACAATAGCGGTGGCAGTTCTGCGAATTTACCGAAGATAAATTATGCATGAAAAAGTTATTTCTTTCTGCGCAGCTAAGTAATTCAATTTTTCGATCTTAATTGTGATAAAATAACTTGACTCATTTTAGGGACTCTAATGCCTCTTGCGAAGTAATAACTACACTAAATTTTAATACCACCTTCAAAGGACCTACTTTTCTTAAGCGTCGGATAGTTTTCGTGCCCTCAGACCAATTTGTTTTCTCAACAACGAAGCCTCTCATTTGTTGAAATAAATACTCTAATTTCTTTCAAAAACTATTATTCTTTTTCATAAAGGGGTTATCTTTACTTCTTGTTATCCTAAAGAGTTTTAGCTTTAAAAATTTATGACTTATAATGGAAAATAATTGAAATGTTGATAACGCAAGAATACTAGAGGAAATATAGAGGCTATTTTGAGCACTTTCAAGGACATCACGTAAAAAAGAATTTTTTTTATATTTATTGAAGCATAGCTTGCTATGGGTCGATTTCATGTAAGTTTCACTACGCACGTGGGATGTTACCATAAACCACACCAATCCAAACACTCTGTCTGTAATTTGATTGTATTTCGTTCCAACTCCAGGTGGGGCACAGAAATTTTAATGATTCAGCATTTGGAAGAAAAGAATTTTTTCTTCCGGAGACCTGAGTTATTCCGTTATATTACTAGCTATGGATTGCAATATCATTTCGCGAGAACGATCCCTGTGGTAAACATTGTACATTTGGAACACTCACACTGTAGAGTGTAAATTGCATGATCGATTCGTTCTTATCAGCCGGTCAAACTTTGCACTGTCTCGGTAATCGGCCGTGATTACAGCGATTATGATTATTACTTGTTTACGAATTTCTGCTGCTCCATGATTACGAAAGCATAAATATTTTCATTATTATAGATACAAACTCTGCAGGAATCCGACCGACGATTAAAGAAGTGGTTTTAAATCAGGATTTTTTTTTGTCGGTCTTAAATGTCATGGGACGAAATTTCGCTACGCCGGAGGTCGGGAAATGGTTCATGGTCCTCATCTGGGGTTGTGAGATCTCGTTTAAACAGCCTGTGAACCAGCGTCAAGTTGTCTGCACAGAGTGATCGCCACGCACGCAAATCATCAACATTGTTGAACGTTTGAAAATTCAGATAACACTGACCAATTATATTGTCATTCTCTTCATTCTTCGCGCGAAAGGTCACAACGTACAAATGATAGCGTGGGGTGACTAGTACCGAGCTGCGGTAAAGCCATCGCACGGCTGACCGGAGCTAGAAAGTGCTTTAAGAGTTCAATTTATTTCCTATCATCCGTAAAGAGGTTTTCCTCAGCAAACATTTACAAAGATAACAAGCCTTGAAATACGCAATAAAATCCTTGTGGAGCTTATCTTTGTTATCGGCTTTATCTTGCGGTCACGTTCCACCTGTCCTAACAATGAACTTAACACCGTAGCCAATCAGCGTGCGGCATTGAATAATTAGTTGTAAAGCAAAGCACCCAGTTGTTTTTCTTTGATCTGTAATGGCGGATATGCCCATCCAGATGAACACTAGTTGACCAAATTGGTTCGACAAATAGACTCGATGGGATGTTTTCTCGAAACGTCATGGAAAACCACTCGACCATCCCTAATGCGTCTTTCAGAGCCGTTAATTTTGACTCGTCAAATAGGAGATTATTTATCGCTTGTAAGAACAGTATATAATGATAACAAATACAGTCAAACAGGTTGATTTTACATCGATAACTACCGATCTAAATTTAAATCTGACTTCGAAAAGTAGCGTGCTCTAATGGTCCACGTACGAATTTAAATTATACATCGATCGGTCGAACATTTTTTTTCCTGGCAAGTTTGCGAAAAGCTCACAATCAGAAAGCCGCGCGTTGCATCCGCCTAAAACGCGCGTCCGTCACGTGTGGTAGATGATGAACAGGGCGCACGTGAAACACTGCCGCTAATTTACTGTTTGAAAACTTTACATGGCGTCCAACCGCTTGATTGGCAGCTCACTTTAGCAGAAGAATTGATTGTTTGATTTGTGTACCAATGAAGTTTTGAATGGAAAAGAGAATCTAACAAAATGTCAACGAGCACGCTCTCCCATTGGTTCTTAGCCTGACCTGTCACTCCTAATGTGTATGCAAGCAGGTTTGTTGGCGCCGGCCAAGCGGGAGCGAACTTCAACCTGGTTTGCTTACAAAACCTTTCAAATATTGTTTGAATATAACCAGACACCACATCTCAGCTTGCGCATTGCGGGGTTTAACCCATAAGACTCAACAGTGAGCTATTTACAAAACACCGTCAGGTTCTTGAACGGCCCTCTACGTGTGAAGGACTGGTTTTTCACGAGGTGCGCACAACGGACTTAGACCCTTGGCAATTTTTTTCCTCTTTTCTTTGACTGTCTCGCGCGTCACGTACAAACGAAGTAGCGCAGCATTGATGCCTTACAAAGCTAATGCCACGCACTTTATTTTAGCGCCTTATCTACCCACTCATCATTCCCTACAGCTTCGGAGATCTCCTTTTGTGTGTTAGAGGCCCTGGAGAAATTCCATATCTGTTTGAATAGCTTCTACAGATTTCTAGAGTGTGTTCATCAGATAAGTGGGGCAGGCTTCATTTTACTTGTAAAAAACTGTGAATAGAGACTTCCGTTTGGTGATGCACGCTATTCCTTGACGTCTTGCACCGTTCACCGAATTTCCCATTGAATATAATGCCTTGACAATGAAATTCCTTTTACCTATTATTTCCTGTAGTTATTGTTATGGGACTTATTAAACCATTTAAATATACGCCTTACTGTCAGTTTTGTGTTTTATTTGCCTTAAGCAACACCTCTGTTCTCTTGAAGGTTTCTCGCGAGTTGGCACTTTGAAGATGGAAGCTGTGACTCCTGAACATAGATGGATTCATCCTTCAGTCAGTCAGCAACACGAGAGCGCTCATGCAAGCGAGAGAATGCAGCCGTCTGCCTCGAACTGCGCCGCAAACAACATGAATTTGGTTGAGACGAACCAACTTCTTCCACCAGACGAGGTGGACGTTTTCTTTCACCACCTCGACAGTTCGGGAAACGCAACAAATTGGTCATACACTCCTGGCGGCCGAGCTTACCGCCCGTCAATGTGCCAAATGGCTGCGCACGGTGCAACAGCTTTTCAAGATCCTCAAAGCCAATCTGGGCCTCAAGGAAGCTGTAGCCGGGTGTTCTTGCCTACAGCACGCGTTCCTCCCGGTCAGGTTTGTCGTCCTCATTTCCACACGCCGATCCAGTGGATCGAGAGCAAGCCAGCTCCTGGTTTGATGTCGCACGGGTGTTCCACAGCAACTCCACCGTCAGTGTGGTGTCCTTCCTTCCAGCAGGGACATCGACCGAGTCCTGTGCCTGTTTCTATGCCACCTTCGGCGGTTTCAGGCTCCATGTCGTTGTCTCACAGCTCCGCGCACTTGTTCCCTTTCCCTCCTACTCCGCCAAAGGAAAGCTCTGGCGAGAGCGGAGTCATTGGTAGTGAAATTTTCAGCTACGGTAGTGAAGAGAAGACGCGTTTGAAAGCCGGAATGCCGCTTGTATCCCCAAGACCTGACACAACACCCTTTGCGGGTTATCCTTCGCAAGCTCTACCACATTACGTTGGCTCAGAGCTAAATATGTCTTCTTTCGGTCCACTGCCTGGTTTGCCCGGGCTAATGGCGAATAGAAACTTTCCTAGAACGAGAACCAAGAGCCGATCGAATTCAGGTTAGTAAGGATTTAGACCCGAGCAAACAAAAATTAATCGCCAAAATCGAATTATCTCCAAAATACCACTTTCACGGCAAGATTAGCGTTATTTCCTTCCACAAGAACTGCGGGAGTTAAAGTTTTTCCTCTCCGCAAAATTTCGCTTTAGCCTCTTCCTCTCTTAATTATGCCCCTAAATAAATTTAATTACAGTGCGGTAATTTTCACAGTTGAAACGTTCCTACTTGCGGCATTCCAGCTTTCAGAGACTCTTTGATAACCATATGTTGTATGTATGTTTGTCGTTATTCGTATTTATACTCTGTAGTTCAGATTATTTACGGTAACCACTTCGCAAATTTTTGGTGGATAGCTTCAACTGATTACTGGCCAAACGTCAAACTCTCTCAACATCGTTTGCGACTGTCGTGATCGCGTGTAAAATTCTTGATTTTTGACGAAGTGAAAAGAGTTCTTGTTGTATAAAACGGCTGTTTGTAAAACAGTTAACAAGTTTTAGCCGACCAAGGAAGATAAAAAGTATTACACTATATGTTGTCTTTAAGTATGACCTTTGAGGAAAGCTGTTTACTCTGAGCAACACGATTCTATCTGATATGACCAAACGCGTACAAACGTAAAACCCGGTACCGTATTTGTTTTAGTTATCGATTTATTTTAAATTTCTCGCGAGTGGTTACCATAGAGGAAGGTAGAAAAACTTCGAAACGCGGAAATTCGTCAAGCTCGACAACTGATCTTGGCTTCTTCGTCTTTCCAAATCAGCCGATGGGCGCGAGTGTGTCAACTGTGGAGCTACTTCGACTCCTTTATGGCGGAGAGATGGTGGCGGTCATTACTTGTGCAACGCCTGTGGTTTGTACCATAAAATGAACGGAGCCAGCCGGCCGCTTATTAAACCTAAACGAAGATTGGTGAGTGGCGCGATGTGTTTTTCAGCGAAAATAGACTCGTGTGCTTTATTGCAAGGAATTTGCGCGCGTTCAAGTCAAAACCTCTTCATATTGTTGCTATTATAAGCTAATTTTCAAATTGTCGCATCTTAGATTTGGTGGACATCTCATGATGGAGTTTCTACCGTTGACAGTAAAGAGTGTGAAAATTCTGAAAGCGCTTTCTAAATTATATTGCTGGCTAAAAGACGAGGGGAATTTGACGCGTGCAGGAAGCCCATGTGAAATTTTCTGAGGCCTAGGAAATTTTTAATTTTACTTATCTTTTAGTTCTTCGTCATGAGGGATTTGATTAAAATTTTAAGGCGATGCGTAATTTGCCAATTACAGCTTTCGTGTCCCTTTTCACTTATTAAAATCGGGGTACTTTACGATCAGACTGTATAAATTACATCAAACGCGTAACTGCCACTTGTCAACGCCTATAATGGAACCCTTAACAAGAAGCCTCAGGACAAGGCGTGCATCCTAGGAGTTTATTTACCACGCTTCAGCAATGGGGTTTTTTCACAGCTTCCTTTTCATTTTTCATGGATTGTGAGATTTTCTTTTTTATCTATAATTTGCTTTCTTTTTGTTTCAAACAGTCGGCAGCCCGCAGAGCTGGAACATCGTGTGCTAATTGTCATACCACTCAAACGACATTGTGGCGACGAAACCAGAATGGAGACCCAGTCTGCAACGCTTGTGGACTTTACTGGAAATTACACGCGGTAAGTTGAAATCGCGCGCGTGTCTTCACGCGACTAGGGAACACTTTACACGTCTTGTGTTTGGTGAAATGGGATTTCTTGTGGAATAAAAAGCGTCGAGATGGACGTAATAAGCATGAAAGATAAGATGTCCCTGATAACCGACAGGCTGTTTGAATTTTGTTTATCACACACACTATCAGAAATTCATTTATCCTTAATGGCTTAGGAGCGATAAACAAACAGAATTTAAGAACGTCAAGAAAAGCGAATTTCCTTCGGTTTAGATAAGAAAGTTCCGAGTGCAATCGCTCAATTCTTCGTTTACAATTAATTTTTCTTTTTCATCCATGCCAGCCGTTTGCGATCGGGGAAGTAATGCAAATCAGCCCGAGCGATTTTTTTTTTTTAAATTGAACCAAATGTATGCTTCTCTCTCTCTCTCTCTCTCTCTCCGTCTCTCTTCTCATGGGGAAGTATTGGCTGAGATAGTCCCCAGCTGTTGCAGAAGCCGTTATGTGGGATGATTATATTCCATTACAAAGCTCATCAATTAGTCTTTAGCGAAGTTGGGGTAATTTCATCCCAATATCCGGTTGAGTTATTTTGAGTTAAAGCTTAATGTGCAGTGCTTTTTTGGCTTCCGATCTTTTTTTTTTTTTTTTCGCAAGCTTGTAAATGTTTTTACATGTCCGATGGAGTTTGTTTGGTTTCGTATGCCAGAAGTATTTCACATGGCTAGCTCCTAGCAAACAGAGGCTTTATTTTTTGTTTTGCATTGTGTACATTCGTAATTTCACAAAAACACGGCTGCGACACCTTTTCAATGGATAAAAGCTGGGCTTTCCATGCTAATCAATCTTAATGTATTAATCTTTAATGACTTGTGTGTCCGTTAAACACCAGAAAACTCATATTTCCTGCGTTAATTTAATTGTCAGAACAGAAGCCTTCTGGTAGTCGGAGACCCTTTGTTTTCCTGCCTAAAGTTTGAACTCCAAAGATCAACTTGTCTCTTATATCGAGTTAATAGCTTCCTTTTCATACGTTAAGGCGAATTGGGTTCGATTCTATTTCCTGTGCATTTCGCGAATAAAGAGAGTTTAATATTTGTTATGTTATCTGGCTTTCTTAGAAACAAATGTCTAAAATTTTAAGCTTTCAAATAAACGCCAACTCTGTAATTGTGGTTTCAAAAAATACTTTTGTGTGATTGTTTATTAGGTAATCAAACTCGCTTCCTTAAATTTTTTTGTGCCGTTGTGAGCCTTTTTTTTTTTATTTCTCGCGTTGTCTTAAAATATAATGAGTTACTTGCATGAATTTTTAATTTCGCAAAATTGTACTGTTTTTATCACCCGTTTGAGGGTTGATTTCAGAGTACAATCACGAACGCTTGAACAGCGACTCGCTCAATTTGGAAGCTCGAGATCTATTCTTTAATGTAGAATCGTGATTTAGAATCTTGCTGAAAAGTAAAATGGTTCTTCTATAGTCAAACGAAGATGCTTGGTATTTTAAACCAAAGACCACCTGCCTACCTCCTTTTGTATTTTGTTTAAATCGCCGCAGTCTGAAAACGTATGGCCTGCCATGTCAAGAAAAAAGGCTTCTTTGTTTCACAAGAGTGCGGCCTACGACATGAAAGAAATTCAGTGAATTACAATCGGTTGCCTCGAAACCATTTGAGCTCTTAGACGGTTCTTTTCGGCAGATTTTCTATTCTTCTAGCCGTTTTAGCAGTTGTCATGTAATATTCCGTTTTAATAAAAAGCGCATTCACAAGCAAAAGAGCAGAAAAAAAGAGAGAATTGCCGGCAAGCGGGAAATGACCATTGATACTAGTGCGTGTTTAAACCAGCAAATTTCGCATATTGAAAGCAAATTAAGTTGTTGGCTGTAAACGTCAGGAACATAAGGCAGATTAAAGAAAGCTTTACCGCAATTGAAGTTTGATGAAAAACGAGACTTTTCGCTGTCAGCCTTTTGAATCTTTCTCTGTTCACCACTTCATACCCTAATCCAATTTCCGCTCCTAATGGACGAGAATGAAGAGTGCTTTCACGGGCTTCCACAAGTCACGACAGTTATCCGATTTTGCTCGTCGGGTCTTCTGTAGGTTTTTTACCCTCTATAAAAATTATGTCAAACTCGCTTGATCGAACAGAATCTTGATCACCAATTCTTAAGCTTGTGTATATTTAACGTAATTTTCAGCTATAACCATCGTGTCGTTAGGATTCGCATAGGTTAAACACTGTACGCTAAATCGCTGGTGATAATTAATTTAACATATTGTCGCTTGTTCCCAAAGTCAAACTTCTTGGGGATAGTTTACACAAGGGATTAGTGCTCGTTCATCTTCACTCTGTAATTACTTGGACATTAAGGACTAATTTTCGTAATTCTTTCCTTTCGAAGGTCAACCGCCCGCTCTCGATGAAGAAGGACGGTATTCAAACAAGGAATAGAAAAGTTTCTTCCAAGAACAAGAACAAGTCCAAGGGAGTGAAACAAGAACAGAAACACGGCAGTGAAGAAAAGCTTATGGGTCATGGCAGAGACTCCATGCCAAGTATAAGTCAAGGGAGCTCAGCTTCTTCCATGATAAGTCCTGTTTTAAGTCCTACAATTCACACACCGACGGCGTTTTCGAGACCATCAATGACAGGAATTCCAACGCTTCATCCAGGTCTTTATGGACCGCTTATTCCTACTGCTACCACCAATCCGTCAAGTTATTTATCAGCTCCTTCATCTGTATCGATTAACGCTTCGTAAGAAACTACGGAAAGACAGCTTCTTTAAAGGAACATTAAAACGTTTAAAAGCGAGAATCGCATCTGGAACTGACTAGTAAGCTCGCTTCAAAAAAAAAAACAAAACGCTTCAGCCGTCATTTGGTCAGCGCGGCCGCCCGCCCGTTCCAAGTTATACTAAAAACTTTCTCTTGTATCTTAAAAGTAATTAATCAGTGAACTTTCGTCCACGGAAAGGCCGGGGGAAAAAAGAAACGGAGAAAAAGGTACAATTTTAGTTGAAACGATGCGTACCTTAGCAGAAATATGCTCTCTCTTTGGTTTCAAATCACGCGCTGGAATAGCCTCGCGAGAATGATTTAAGGAAACCGAAAAGTTGCGTCGCAAACGATCTTGAAAGCAGAACCGCTTGTACAAATGCAGATATTCGCGATGATGTTCTTTTACGGTTATGGACAGTTTAAATATTGTACAAGCCTTTGATAAGATTAGGTGTTACGATGGAGAATTTTAACTTTCCTACAGATAAAGCCGCTCTGCTTCTGCTCACAGAGACGATAAAAGTTCTCATATTTGATTTCATGATATTTGTGTGTAATTAAAAGCTTTATCGTATATTCGTATATCGCTCCTTGTCTCAAGGCTCGAAAATCTGTGAGATATGAGACCGTATCGCCCTAAAGAGAAAATATTCGTTGTAAATATTAAACTCGAGAAAAAACTGAATGAATTCATGCAGGTTGTGTTATCAGGCGGTACAGATTTCTTCTATTGGCCATTCTTTTTATCGTCAAGGAAGATTCTGTGATATCTTTACTTGATGTTAAGTTCTTTTTTCGTATCGTAGTTCTTTATTAGTACTATAGTTGAATTGTAAAATTTCTTGTTATTTCCACGTCCCCCTCACCTAAACCTGTATGAATATCTTTTACTCTGTGAATCGTTTTATGGCGATAAAGAAAAACCTTATAATATTATATATCTATATAAATATATGAACACTGAAGAAGAAAACATGGGAAAAAGAATAATAATAAAGCAAAATGTCTAATAAAAGATGTCTGGAATTATTACTTGTATTTTGGGTGAACTCGACGAACTTGTCTTTGAGGATGAAACTTAAGCCCGAAAAAAATTCACACAGAAATCAAAGCGAGCTTGTCATGCTATTCTCAGCTAGTTTGTGCTTTTAGCAGGAACGGAAATAAAACCAAACTGAAGGTGTAAATTAGCCCTAATATTTCTAATTAGAACGTTGAAAATCTCTTGACATAAAACATGTCAAATGTACGTGTGCATCACTGTAATTTCTCCTGTGTTTTGAATTGCGAGCAACTTTAACGACAGAAAAAGGGAAAAGTTAATGCCACGTTATTATGGTATTCCAATCGTCCTTTTCCTTTGAACAGCATCGGGGTTTTATGCTTAATAATAGTCTAACTGGCGATATCAACAGAAGCCATAATCACCTTTAAACAAGAAATAAATTGTAATTCAAATTACTGTTCGGCAGTTGAATTTCTTTGATACGACAACTATTGAAAACGGATCAGAATTTTTTTTCTCTCCACAGAGTTCAAGCCAGTATCTTCTTTGTCAGTTATCAAATGTGCTTGTTCAAACTATGATTTAAAACAAAATTTTCCAACAATGTTTAGAAACATACATATTTTTTTCAATTCGCAAATACCACCTCGTCCCTTCGAAATATGCTTTCCCTCCAAACACAAAATTGATGATATTCCCCCTACAAACCATAAAACATAATATTTTGAGTCAAATCCCTTTAACATTGAAATCTTTGGATAAACTTTACTCTCCATTTTACAAAATGGCAACAAAAGAGCGCTTAGTCCACAAACAGATCATAAAATAAAAATAGTTTCGTGCGGAAAAGACATACCGTACATTCGTTTTTCCCAAAAGGCCACGATAGAGGGCAAGTTCTTAGACACGAAGACGACATTCTGTGATAAAACGGCCGCACCTCTCCATTTCGCGCAACAAATAGCTGACCTAATAAATCTGTGACTTCTTTATTCAGTGGAAAGCTGTCGGGTGGTTAGAAAAGTACAGGTTTTTATCGAACTTTTCGGTGCTCGAATAGAATTCACAATGACAGCGACAAGTGATTCCATTCAGTCAAACTGGTAGATTTTGTATTTCGTTCGTTTCGAGAAACTCCTTGATGCCACTTTAATTAAGGAAAGAAAAAAAAAACCTGCACTCTGAAGAACAAAATATTTCTGAGTAGTAAGAAGGGAAAGAGTAGTTTTTCCTTTTTGAAAATCAAAAATAAATATCTCGCTAACTTTTCTCGTTTGCAAGGCACTGCAAAATGTACTGCCGTAAACAAATGGTACATGTCTAGCACAATAAGTCGAAAAGTCGCTTAATCTTTCGGATATGTCAAAATCCCCAACCCACTAACCCAATGGAATCTTAATCCAAGACGAAAAGATTGAAATGTGTGTGGGTAAGAATAGAGGATAACTTATTGAAGTAAAAATAGTATTTACACGGCCAAATTTATTTCATTTTATCAACGACAAGAGCACTAGTTTTTCGATTGACACTTTCGTGGATCGCTATCGCGGAGTAAGAACACTAAATTGTATACCTTGCAGTTTATTTTTGTCGAGAATAAATCCATTTTCGTTTACAAGAACAGGCATAAAAATTAGATTTTGGAAGACCTGTGAATCTTGCACGTCTATCGTGGATAAACTGGTATAAAAAACGACAAGTAGCAAGCCCGATTCGCATTTCTTTTTTGAAGTACTTTCTGCGATATGGGTTTATCGAACTGATATTAGAGTGTGTTATGGTAAATTTCTTTTTTCCAACCTGCCAAATCTTTCTTAATGTTCAGCATTCGTGATGGAGTGATTAGATTATTCTTGATTTAGATGAGACGAAAAGAAAAAGTTTTGTTTATACTTATTGAATTTCAAAGTAGGAAAGCTGATATATCTCGTAAAATTTATGCAATGGACCAAGAATTTTGTTCCTTTCGATCCACCTGTCCAAAGGTTATTCCTTATTTCATTACAAAAAATTTATAAATTTTTAAGACTCGTCTGAGGAGGAGAACGGATAGACATTGAGATAAAAATTCACGCTTCCAAGCTTTTTTTTTTTGAAGCTTAGAGTTTCATCTCTTGTACAAAAGCTTTCGATAGCGGCTATAAAAAGTATTGATTGTCAGGTCGGAACCGCTCTCGGCTTGCACCCCATTTACTGGCTTATCAGCGCGCCCATCGCCTGCCTCATGAATGGCAGTCGGGATGGAAGTAAAAGATTGACGTTTTGTCAACAGCACGCGCGCGCGGTGCGCCAATACGCGTGAAGTTAATGAAATTGATTCACACGCGATATCCTTAAGATTCGCACGATTCGTGTTATCTCCATCAAGATAAGGCCAAACTACGCATTTCCTTCACCTGTGCTTGCGGGTAAAGTTCGCAAACACTTCTTCAAGTCAAATGAGTTTTTAATTATAAGGTGTAAGTTCTGTTTGTTTTGTGGACGATTCTTGCCAACCGATTTTCAGTAGAATCTCTCAAATGAATAACAAATCGACGAAGTGCCAAAATTAGATGTTTCTGAAATATCTTTCCCTTTCCTGTGATTTTAAATCATAATAGCCTTTTAGCGTCTTTTAGCACTTTGGCTTTTAACGAATTCAAAAGTTTTTTTTTCCGCATTAAAATCGGCCGATGTGGCGAGAGTAACTTCCGATGGGTTTTCTAAGCTCTTCCTATATCTGAAAATACTATTAATCTAGGTGTTATCTTTTTATCAATGTAGGGCGAGAAAAAATACAGCGATAACAGAAATATTAAAGGGAAGACAAATTTAAAATTCAAAGTTGCTGACCGACATTTTAATTAACTTTAAGTCTTGTTTATTTTCGATTTTTTCTAACTTTCTAACGGAATTAGTGAGAAATTTAAAAACCGCTATGGGACTGCTTACTTTCGGACAAGTCAAGAAAAAACATCACGAACCTCCACGGTAAATTTTCATAAAAAGTTTAAATTGTGCCATTTCTTGAGCAGAGCCTCAAGAAAGAATATAATTTCGTTGTAGCACCTTCTACCACTGCAGACGAATCTTGAACCAACTTAGAGCCATGAAATTGCTGTGATTATAGACATATTTTCGCTTTCTATAAATTTGTCAGTGATACGAGATAACCCTATGAAACACGAAACAAATTTGATATTTTTTCTTTCGAAAATTGAATATTTTCCGTACTCTTGACATTTCCTTGGCACTGATCAACTGATGAGAAATCTAGTTGCAAACCAGTCTGATTGCATGTAATTAAATTTAGGTCATATCTTTGCGAGGTAGATCTTCAGTTTTTGTTTTTAATCATGTTGAAGTTTAAATTTTTCTTCTAGAACAAACATTTCCTATCTTATATAATAAAGAGCGCGTAAGATATAGCCATTGAAAAACTACTTTTCCCGCAGCAAATCAATTTAATAAACCGGATAGTGTCAAGCTAAAATTTTCAGAATTACAAAGTGAAGAAATTATTCTTTCTGAAAGTCGAAAGATATCTCTCCCCTGTTTCGCGAGACTGAAAAAAAAGTCTCCTTGTTCTATTTCCGAAAGCACCACATCTTTATAGGCCATGGAGTTCAACAGCGTATGATTGTTTGCTCTCATTTTAAATTTGAGTCAATCTCTTCAAATCTTCCGACAAATACTCGCACTTTCAAAAAGAGTTTTTCTGCAAGCGTTTCATGTCTGTTAGAAGGCCTTTAATGGGCGTGAGATGCCCCAATACAATTTCTGTTTTTCCTCTTTGTATGACCAAGAAAAAGCAAGGTTAATCTCAGTTTTCCTTACATTTTCCGCACCACTCTCCATTGAAGCACTCTCAATGAAATGAATAAATAAATACAAAACAAGAGACTAACCAAATACAAAACAAGAAGAGCGGAAAAAAGAAAAAAAAAAAAAATAAAATAAAAAAGCAAGACTGCTGCTGCAGGCCAGTTGAAATATTCAACTCTAAGAAGTAAGTTCGATCTTTTTCCGATGTATAACTCAGTGTAAAGGGTCATCATTAATTGTTCTGTTTTAGTTTTCATTAGGATGTTAAGG